GCCCAGGCGCCGCGTCCCGCACCGCTCCGTGCTCCCGCCCGGCTCAGCCGCCAGCCCCTCTGCGCAGACAAAAGCTGCCACAAAAGGCATTAGGCTGCGGGATTGGATTACGGCGCGGCCACCTGTCACCCCCACTTTGGAAATTCATCTCGCCACAGGGCTGTTTTTCGCATTAGAGAAGTTTGTGATTTAAAAAAAAAATCCCCTCCCTCGTTGTGCCGCGCTCCTTCCTAAAAAGCGCAGCCTGGTGGGGTTGGTTCATGCATCCCTTCTTATTCCAGCGTGGAGCCGGGGATTAGGGCTGTGTGAATGACAGGAGCCTTTATTACATTAGTCTAAGTGGTTAATAGGTAAAGTAGGCCAATCCATCTTTAGGCTAAGCCCAGCGCTTCGCCTACGAAGGAGGCAGCCTTTGCCGGGGAAATATTCATTAAAGAAAAATCTCCTCTTCCGTCTCCCTTGACATGTTAATAGCTCAGAGTTAGGGGTGCTGCTTGTCACCCATGGAACATTCCTATCTGTGCTCCCGCAGCAGCTGCCTCATCCCGACGGATGAGACGTGTCCCTGGACCCTCCTGGGGCAGGTCCCCAGCGGGGGCTGCGGCTGCCCAGGATCGGTGAGGGATGCCCGGCTGTGCTGCTGCCCTTCATCCTCCCGGCTCCTCCTCTTCGGAGCTCCGAAAGCAGCGGCCCAGCCATCCCCCGAGCAAGGGCAGCGGGAGAGGGGGTCAAAGGACGGGGAAAGGCAGCACGTCCGGGCTGTGACGCTGCTCTGGGGTGTTCTCCAGGCCAGGAGTATTCACAGGCTTCAAAAATGAGACACTTCATAGTCAATATTAAATAGGCTGATTTGGATGCAACTGCTGGCTCCAGAGGTCTTTGAACGCTAGGTTGCCAGGGGCAGAAGGATAACGAGAGGATGGATTGCTTGCCAAGACATTCCAACTACCTTAATTTTCCACCTCAGTATCCCCTGCAACCCTCTCATTTCTCCATCAAGCCCCTGTCCTGACCAGTGGGCTGCCTTCGTGGCAAGGCTCAGCTGAATTCCCTCTTCCCCACAGGCTAATTCCCCTTCTCCTCTCCCTTGGTTCTCCTGCACTGCCAACAGGGCTGGATGCACCTCTGTGGTCCTTACCTTGCACCACACAGAGGGCAGGAGCTGCCCAGGCCTCCAAAGTGTCCATGAAGCCACCATGGAAATAAAGGACACCGTAAGTGCGAGGAGATGGCCCGGTGCACCGGGTCTGTGGAGTGTGTTTAGGGGATCCATCCGATTCATGTGGGCTCCCCAGTGACCCTAAGGGGTCACCTCCTGCCAGCACACCGTGACTGCGTCTGCTCCGGCTGTTACAGCTCCCTTCTCCCCTGCTCTGCAATGTCTGGGGTTCAGTGCAGCTTCTGCTGCCTTGGAGCCTTAGGGCCAGCTGCTTCCAGCGCAGAGGCTGGTCCTGCTTCCGTCGACACTTAGCTCTGGGGTGTTGCATTGGAATTGTAGTGCTGTGTGTGGATCAGTTTTCCCTTTTCCACTTGTGGTTTGGATGGGAATAGACTGTTCTTGGTGGCATCTTCACCTGTGTGAGTTCCGACCAGCAAACTTACCAGTTACTCCTGTCCCTGAGGCTCTGTTGTCTCCAGATGCCAGCATGACGGATGAAGCCTCCGTGGGAGATTATGGAAACTATGGGAAAGAACCTGGCTGTGCACAGACCTGTGCAGTGAAACTTTGCTTTCCTGGGTGTGATATTGCCTGGGATTCAAGCCACATCCATGGACTGCAAAATTTGGCTGCATGTGCTGTTGTCTGGCTTGTATGCAGCCGCTTTCTAAGCAAGGAGTCTGCAAAGATCTTGAGGGTCGTAGTCTTGGGCTGTGCAACATGCACCTGTCTAGGTGCAGTGAAAGGAGAGCTAGGAGCAAGGGTCCTAGAAGGAGAGCGTTGGAGCGAAGGTCTGGAGGGAAGGTTTGGGTTGGTTCAGTGCTTGTTCTTGGGTTGGAGACCCCATTTCTATCCCTGCTCATTTTTGTCTCTGCTGACCAAGGCAGATAGTGGTCAATGTGCTCGCCCTTCATCATCGGAGAAGTTCCTAATCACAGAAAACAGTGTGTGAAATGCCAAGGATGGTGCAAGAGGAAGTGTGGCATGGAGAACCCACAGGGCTCCTCTGCAAAAATGCCAGATTGGGTACCTAAACCTGCACAGACCTGAGTGCTGTGTATGAGAGCAACTCATATTGGAAGTGAGACAGGTTGGATATGGTCAGCAACAAGCCAGGAGCGTAGGTTCAGGTGTTGGCTGGGCCATGAGGACACTGAGGTGAGGCTGGTGGATCTTCATTCCATGCGCTGGACACAGAGTCGCTCCCTGTTGTTTTCCCTTCTACGGAGCGGCCTGGAGCACTCACCTGTGTTTGTTGCTGATTAAGAACCACTGTTTCCCAAACCAGACCGGCTGCCTCAGCACCTCCACCCCAGCAATTTCCTCCTGCGCTTCTTCGCGCAGCTCAGTGGCCCAGCCCTGCCCAACGTCTCTCTTGTGCAAGGAGGAAAAACAAACCAGTCTTGCATCATTCCCTGGAGACTTTACAAGTACTGGCCTTGGTAGCGCTGGAGGAGAAGTCCATCTGCCGTGGAGGGCTCCAGAATGACAGTCCAGCGGCACTGCCATGCCGAGCACAGCTTGGAAATTGGTCTGCTCCCTAGGCAGGTCCCAAGCCATTAACAACTTCATGGGTCAAAACCAGCCTCTTAAATCAAGCCTGTCGGTGGCCAGCGCAGGATGTAGAACTTAGATTTAATGTGCCCATAAAAAGAGACACCACTTAATGAGCAGTCTGTCAAAATCCGCATCAGCTCACGGTAGATTTAAGAGTCGCTCTCTGGGTGTTATTGACTGGCTCCGTTCTGTGCTGCCATTAGGGGTTTGCAGAGGTACACAGAGAGGCAAGAGATTAATCAGAGTTTTATTCTGGTTGCTGGATTTTGGCACAAGCTGCCTTCTTCCTTCCAGGAGGTCACTGTCCCTGGTGGCCCGCGGGCCGTTTTAATCTGACGCTGTGCATAGGACATGGAACCCGGCATGCCCAGCCTTGGAGCAGTGTCCGTGGAGGTTTCCACAAGCTCATACCCCATCACCACAGACTCACTGTGTCTTTTGATTCCATCAGGCCGTTCATTCCCATTTTTTTCTATTATTTGGCCTCAGATTGGATGGGTCATTTTTTCCCTTCAGCTTCTTCAGTGGGACAACCCCTGGATTTTAGACAAGCCATTGGTGGCTTGTGGGGTTGCAAAGGGCTCACAGTGAGCGGTGCAACACAAAACCAGCAAGGGAAGAGAAGGGCCTTTGGGAGGGAATAACCACTCCGCACACCCGAGGTTGCTGCTGGGCAAGGCTTGCAGATCACACACCAGTTGGTCATTTCTCTGTGCTGCTTTGAAAACTTAATCAAGTTTTATAGCTTTAATTTTGCGGCAGACTCCCATCTAGTCCCTTTTTAGCCATCTCGCAGCCCAGCGCAAATGAGTCCCGTTGGATTATAAAGGGCAAGGATTGGAAAATGGTCTGAAATATTTAGGCCTGCTTAGGGAAGGCAAGGAAAAAGAAAACCGTTCTTTCTCCCTCAAGCCACTTCCCGCGTTGCTGCGATCTCTTTGGTTTTCACCCGTGAGTCGTAGGGTGCAACCGCTCCGTGATTCAGGTCTCAAGGGTGTATTTTTAAGGACAAGCCCTGCTCTCGAGCCGACGCGTTGCACGTGGTGACAGGTCCTCCTCGCCGGGTGCCGGGTCCCGCTGGGACATACGCAGTGGCCTGGGAGCGGAACACGGCTCCGGGCTCATCCCGAGCCTGCGGGCCCGGTGTGGGCCGCCCGTGCTACAGGTGCTGGGCACAGCCCGGCTAATCCACTCGCGGATAACCGGCGGATTACTGAGCTGGGTTTCTAATGCAGTGGCCTTTAATAATAATCCTTCCCTAATCCCTAAATCATTGGAAAATGGATTTATCTTTATGGGCTAAATGGCCTGTGCAGGCATTTTAGGGAGGAAAATTCTTGTGCATCTGTGTCTGGGTGTATATGTTTATGTAAACATGCATTTTTCCTTCCCCACTCCCTGCCTTCCTAACCAGTGTGTGTTTTCCCTGACAGGGAGCTCATGCCCAGGACCCTCGAGGGGCAGATCACCATGGAGAAGACCCCCAGCTACTTTGTCACCAAGGAGGCTCCGGCCCGCATCTCCTCCATGTCCAAGGGCACAAAGCTCATCGTGGTCGTGCGGGACCCCGTCACCAGAGCCATATCGGACTACACGCAGACGCTCTCCAAGAAGCCCGATATCCCCACCTTTGAGAGCCTGACCTTCAAAAACAGGACTACGGGCCTCATTGACACGTCGTGGAGCGCTATCCAGATTGGCATCTACGCCAAGCACCTGGAGAACTGGCTGCTCTACTTCCCCATCGGGCAGATCCTCTTTGTCAGCGGGGAGAGGCTGATCAGCGACCCCGCGGGCGAGCTGGGCAGAGTCCAGGACTTTCTGGGCCTCAAGAGGATCATCACGGACAAACACTTCTACTTCAACAAAACCAAGGGCTTCCCGTGCCTGAAGAAGGCGGAAGGCAGCAGCAAACCCCACTGCCTGGGGAAGACGAAAGGCAGGACCCACCCCGACATCGACCAGGAGGTGGTGCAGAGACTGCGGGACTTCTACCGGCCTTTCAACATGAAGTTCTACCAGATGACGGGGCAGGACTTCGGCTGGGACTGAGCCTGCCGTGGGAAAGTCCTCTGTAACTACTTGCCCAGCACAGTTTGCGTATATAAAGAGATATATATGTATGTAAAATGTACAGAAATCTATTTTATAATAATTTATTTTTAATTCCTAAGCAATTAATTCACTAAGCTGCCTAACCGCACTGGCTAGAACGGTAGCCCATAACCTGTTTAACATTCCACAGTGTTTAATTCTAATGTCTCTCCTTGTTTTCTTTTGTTTTTGTTTTCATTTTTCCCCGTTTTCTCCTCTTTTTGTTTTGGTTTGTAACAGATGGTGCTTCCATTTTTTCCTAAACAAAAATTTGTATTTAAAAACAAACAAACAAAAAAAGAAAAAAAAAAAAAAGGTAAGGGTGGGGCGGGAGGGAAAGCACAAATTTATTTTTGTTACGGGTACCTGGCCTTTATAAACACTTGCTTTCCCTGTCCCGGTGTCCCGGTCTCTGCTCGGGCGGTCGCTCCCGGCCTCGCTGGCGGATCCGCAGCCCCGGGATGCTGGCGGGGGCCGGGGGGGGGGGGGTTTTT